ACACACACACACACACACACACACACACACACACACACACACACACACACACAAAACAAATGACTGATCAGATCATTGTCAAAATGGAAAATTCACTGGCTTGCTCAAAGTTTGGAAAATTTGTACAATTCGAGTTAAGATGTCCTAAACTTACTCGATTCATCCTGAAGACAGAACAACGTGAATAGGGCGCGTCCTAGCCGAGTTAATAGGAAATAGGGCCCACCCTCTCTCTCTCTCTCTCTCTCTCTCTCTCTCTCTCTCTCTCTCTCTCTCTCTCTCTCTCTCTCTCTCTCTCTCTCTTTCTCAGTACTGAAGACAACATTGTTGTAGAAAAAGGCCTGGCCCGATCTACTCGACAAGGTTTAGACGTAAACGGAAAGGTTAAGGAAAGATTGTGAAAAACAAGGAAGTTTTTGTGCGTTTCGTTTTCATGGTACAAGTGCGCGATGACTCGTGGGAGTGAGGGAGCGAGAGGTGGGGTGGAGAGTATCGGATTACGTTTGGTGTGAGTCAGCCGAGGTGCTGAGAGACCCAGGCGGCGAGTCGTCAGTTGTCAATGCCTTGGGAACTGAGACCGCGACTCTCTGATTTGTCATTCATTAATGGGGGTATTACACGTTCAGTGCACTTGTCTGGTTTGTCATTCATTAATAGGGTATCACCATGGCGTTCTCTACTATGGGTATTACACGTTCAGTACACGTGTCTGGTTTGTCATTCATTAAGGGGGTATTACACGTTCAGTGCAGTTTTCTGGTTCGTCATTCATTAAGGGGGTATTACACGTTCAGTGCAGTTCTCTGGTTCGTTATTCATTCAGGGGGTATTACACCTCTAAGTTAAAACTGAAAGTTTTCTGGTTTGTCATTCTTGAGAGGGAAAGAGGGGGGGGGGGTATTGCACGCTCAATTAAAACTGACTGTCAGATGTCTTACTTCCTCTTTGTAATAAGAAATTAATCTTTGATGCAATCTTGGTAAAAAAAAAACAACAACAACAACAAACTTCTTTTTTTGTGCTCTTCAAAATTCTGAAAGAAAAAGAGTCACTTCGAAATGTGAAGCCCCCCCGAAAAAAAGGTATTGTTTCGAATATTGCGTCATTTATTATTTTCTTATCGCAAAGAGGAAGGACTGTCACTTTAACTGAACGTGTAAAACCCCTTATAGAGTTGTTATTGTAGTCTAATGTGTTGAATGAAGGCAGGAGCATATAAGACTAGCTGAAGTAAGGACTGCCATGTCATCGAGATGCTTAAATAGTAGAGGGGAACAGAAAGCGTCTGTTGTTATTATCGTGTTAGGAACAGTGATTGCATTTAGGGTAGAGTATGAGGATAGGGTAATAGCCGAAGTAAGTGTGAGTGTGTGTG